CCCTCTCATTCCCATCGTGCTGTGAGATGTGTCTGAGGGGAGCTTACCTAGCTTCTTCCCCTGGAAGCTAACGGGATGATAACCTTTGGCACAGGATGGGTACAGCTACTTCAGGAGCATTGGTATCGTCAACACCCGAAGTGAGTTTGTGCCCTGACACAATTATATGGCAAGGACACTCATCTTGAGCTCCAGTGAAAGGGTTTAAATTAGTGTGATGTAAGACAGAGCTGAACCAGGGAACGCACACTCAGGCATTACAGCAACTTAGGGGGAATGTTGCTAAATTGCTGCAACTTGGTAATGTTGAATCTTACACCCACAACTTCATGCATGAAGCAGTTTAAGCAGCTAAGTAATCAAAATAGCACAAACAAATAAAATTAAAAAAACCTTGGCTTTGCTGTGATAGCTTAGAGTTTTAACTGGTTTTCATACTTTGATTTCTTTTCTTTTAGAACTTTACGAAAGAAAGATGCATGGGAAATGCAACATCAGCAGACTGCTACGTTCACAGCCGGTGGATACCACAGAATCTGTAGTCCTGCTTTGCATGAGCACGGCAATATCACTGTTACAGAAAGCGATAGCACTTCATCTTCTCATACACTTCACGGAGGTCATGAAAAGGAGATCGATGAGAAATCTCCATCCCCGCCAGTGGGATATCCTGTGGACTTTGGTGAGCTGTTTCCTGAGGAGGGCAGAACAGGCCTACTGAGCCCTGCTTACAGTGCAGAAGACATCAAATTCTCAGTAAGTAACTATTTTCCTATAACACATACATTTTCAAAGATCCAGCTGTGAAACCAAATGAAGCCTTGGAGGACCCAAAAAATTAGATCGCCCCTGTTGCTACAGTGCCAGTCCAGCAAAAATAGAAATAGCTCATCCTAAAATGGAGGTCATGAAAAGGAGATCGATGAGAAATCTCCATCCCCGCCAGTGGGATATCCTGTGGACTTTGGTGAGCTGTTTCCTGAGGAGGGCAGAACAGGCCTACTGAGCCCTGCTTACAGTGCAGAAGACATCAAATTCTCAGTAAGTAACTATTTTCCTATAACACATACATTTTCAAAGATCCAGCTGTGAAACCAAATGAAGCCTTGGAGGACCCAAAAAATTAGATCGCCCCTGTTGCCATTTTTATTTCTACAGTGCCAGTCCAGCAAAAATAGAAATAGCTCATCCTAAAATAAATGCAGTTTTCTGGAGATGAAACATCCCCTGCTGGGACATACCTCTATACTAATAACGATGGTGATAATTACTCGCCATTATGTGACTGTGAGAGATTTCTACATTTTACCTCATTGCCTTCTATATCAGGGCACTTTGCTTCATTCCGCCTTCTGTACAGGCACTTTAAGTGTGTTTCCATAATGCCTGCAAACTTACTGCCTTAAGTGCTGTTAGACAAATCAAGTTTCTACAGTATTCAGTTGACGGATGAAGTAAGAGGAGTTGCAGCAACTCTTTTCTATGTGTTAGCTATTGTATTTGAAAAGGAACAGAAATAACTGCGGTAATCATAATTTTTCTTGAAATGAAAGAGTAATAGTGCAGCATTCTTTCTTTCAGTCTTCATAGGCTGGAGATTACCAACATCCATGACAAGTGGGATAAATCCCACTTTCCCTAGGGCAACTTCTTAGGAAAAACTTTCTGTAATTCTTTGACTTTAGATCTCTCTTTAAATTTAGAGCTTTATCCTCTTCCTTAGTATCTTCCATTCTTCCTTAGTCCTCCACTACAGGCCACCATTTTTTTTCCACTTGAAAGCTTAAAAGTTTTTCTCCAGACCTCAAACCATGGAACCACACCATCATTAAATAACGGAACTAACAGGTTAGTGAGGAATGGATTGCAGCCATCTCTCTGTCCAGCTGTGATACATGCATCTTTGTACCCAGGAGATCCTGAGCTGCAGGTGTGTGGCTAAGCCTATAGAGAGAAAAGAGGGAAGAATTCAGCCTTTACTGAGGGGAACCAAGTGACAATTTTTATGCCACTCATCACGTCAAGTAGGAGAGAAGAGGCATCTCCTTCTATGACAAGGTGACCCACTTAGTGGATGAGGGAAAGGCTGTGGATGTTGTCTACCTAGACATTAGTAAAGCCTTTGAAACCATTTCCCACAGCATTCTCCTGGAGAAACTGGCTGCTCATGGCTTGGATGGGTGTGCACTTCACTGGGTAAAAAACTCTGATGGCCAGGCCCCAAGAATTCTGGTGAATGGAGTTAAATCCAACTGGTGACAGGTCACAAGTGGCGTTCCCCAGGGCTCAGTGTTGGGGCCAGTTCTGTTTAGTATCTCTATCAATGATCTGGACGAGGGGATCGAGTGCACCATCAGTGAGTTTGCAGATGACACCAAATTGGGCAGGAGTGTTGATCTGCCTGAGGGTAGGAAGGGTCTACAGAGGGATCTGGTCAGGCTGGATCGATGGGATGAGGCCACTGTATGAGGTTCAACAAGGCCAAGTGCTGGGTCCTGTGGTCCCTTGGGCCACAAGAACCCCCTGCAACGCTACAGGCTTGGGGATGAGGGGCTGGAAAGCTTCCCAGCAGAAAAGGACCTGGGGGTGTTGGTCAACAGCAGCTGAATATGGGCCAGCAGTGTGCCCAGGTGGCCAAGAAGGCCAGTGGCATCCTGATCTGCATCAGGGACAGTGTGGCCAGCAGGACCAGGGCAGGGATTGTCCCCCTGTACTGGGCACTGGTGAGGCTGCACCTTGAGTCCTGTGTTCATTACTGGGGCCCTCACTACAAGAAGGACAGTGAGGGTACTGGAGTGTATCCAGAGAAAGGAGCGGAGATGGGGAAGGGTCTGGAGCACAAGTCCTGTGAGGAGTGGCTGAGGGAGCTGAGGGTGTTCAGCTGGAGAAGAGGAGGCTGAGGGGAGACCTTATTAAGCTTCACAACTACCTGAAAGGACAGTGCAGAAAGGTGAGGGTTGGTCTCTTCTCCCAAGTGACAAGTGATAGGATAAGAGGAAATGGCCTCATGTTGTCCCAGGGGAGGGTTAGATGGGATATTAGGAAAAATTTCTTCATGGAAAGGGCTGTCAGGCATTGGAACGGGCTGCCCAGGGAAGTGGTTGAGTCACCATCCCTGGATGTATGTAAGAGATGTGTAGACGAGATGCTTACGGACATGGTCTAGTGGTGGCATTTACAGTGTTAGGTTAACAGTTGGACTTCATGATCTGAGAGGTCTTTTCCAACCTCAACGATTCCATGATTCTATGATCATGACACCAACAATCATCTTCAGTTTGTGGTGGTTCTGCTGTCCACTTCAGAAAAGGGTGCACATCCTTTCCTCTCGGAGACGTGGCTGCTAGAAGATCTTGGTAGAGAGAGGACGGGCAACAGATGTCA